TATTTTTTTTTTAAAAAAAAAAGTATTAAAAAAAAACTGAAATTTTTTTATAAATAATATTATTAGTTTAAATTATTTCATTTGAAAAATTTTTTTTTTTTTATTGTTCAGAAATATATGAAATATATGCAATTGCATTAATGACGTACAAATTTACTAATAAAATAATAAAAAAATGTTTATTCATTAACGAATTATTCATGTGACGCAAATCGTCATCTGAGGCACAACATATATAATAATTTTATGAAAGTGAAAATGAAAACTATTTATGTATTAGTTGACTAAACTTTAATCAGTAACATCAGTTACTGTTAAAAGAAAAAAAGATTTTTTATGTACTTTAAGTAATTTATAAGTTTTTATATGACTTACACTTTTTTGTCAAAATCTTTTACCGTATTTAATATATATAATATTATGAATGATATCAAAATTTTATAATTTTATACTAAAACGTCACATTCATTATTTCGAAGAATATTTTTTATTAAACGAACGATGAAAAATCACCTGAACGTGTGATAATTGAAAATTGATAAGCCAAACTAAATTTAAAAATATCGCGTGAATTGGTACACACAGCCACAACATAATAATGTAACAAACAATAGATTATTGAAATATAAAATTCCGTCTCCGTTTCTCATTCTTAGATTAACCTACTTGAAATTTTTCGGACTAATTTAAAAAAAAAAAAAAAAAAAAAAATTTTTATTATGGCTCAAATTCGTAAAGATTTAACTAATGATGCAATTGAAGAAGCGTACGCATTAACGGATTTTGATATTCAAGATAGTATAGAGAAACGATTTGAATTTAGAAAACAAATTATTCTTAAAGATGTACGTCTCTCAAAAGATGAAATATCTTATGCAGTAAAATTATTAAATAAAGATTTTGATGATCATAAAATCCTTTCAAATGAAGGAATTAAAAGAATTTGTGAAAATTGTAAAGAAAAATGTTTAGCTACCTTTTATTGTGAATTCTGCGTTCGAAATTATTTAAAAAATAATTTTTCAAATTGGACATCGGAAAATAATGATATTGATAATTTAATAAAAAAATGTCAACTGGAAACAATTACACCACAAAAGATAGTAGAATGGATCCCATATAATAATTTTCAAAATTTAATATGTTTGAATAAAAGTGGATGTTCGGAAATTTATACGGCATATTGGATTGATGGATGTTATGATGAATGGGATTGTAAAGAAAAGAAATTAAAAAGATGTGGAGAACAAGAAGTTATACTTAAAAAATTAGAAAATGTTAAAAATGCTAAAAAAAGTTGGTTCGATGAGGTATCTAAATTTTTTTTTTTTTTTCTCTCTCTCTTTTATGTTTCTATGCAAATTTTTAAAAAATTTATTTAATAATAAATATTAAATTTATTTGTAGGGTAAAATTAATTTACTTATAAGTAATAAATGGAATGACTTAGTACAATGTTATGGTTTTACTAAAGATCCAAAGGATGGAAATTATATGCTTGTTTTAAATAAAATGGATACGAATTTAAGAAATTATTTGTCAAAATATCATACTAAACTTACATGGAAAGAAAGAATTCATATTGCCTATGAAATAATAAATGCAGCTTGTGAAATTTATGATGAAAAAGCAATTCATAAAGATTTACATTCTGGTAATATTTTATATAGTCAACCTAGAAAAAAGTTTTGTATCAGTGATCTTGGATTTTGTGAACCTGCTGATAAACCATTAAATAGCATATATGGACAACTTCCTTACATAGCACCTGAGGTTATTGTTGGGAAAGAAATTACTTTTGCATCTAATATTTATAGTATTGGTATACTTATGTGGGAAATATCATCAGGAACACAACCTTTTATTAATTATGAACATGATTCTGATCTTGCGATGAATATAATAAATGGTATGAGACCAAAAATAGTACGAGGAACTCCTTTAGAGTACAGAAAATTAATGGAACAGTGTTGGAATGCTGATCCGAAAAAGAGACCTGATATATATACTCTTGAGGATAAATTAGACGTTATGAGATCAAATCAAAATTATCAATTAAATTTTACAAATATCAATAATTTACCATTAAATGTAAATTTTGGAATAAACCCTAGCCTTACTAAATTTTTAATTAAACATTCAACTAGTAAAATTTACAATTTTAATGATTTACCTGATCCAAAAAATGCTACAAAAGGTAAGACGCTCAATATTACTTATGAAATATTTGATAAGTACTATATTAATTAAAAGTATTATATTAATTAAATTAATTTTGTTCTTTAATTAACAGAAGAACAAGAAGGTAATTAATTATTCTTATTAATCTGGAGCGTAACGAAGGACTATATATTTAATTATCAATGTTATTCTAATAATGTCATTTTATTATATTATTAGCTTTTCATAATATGCAAAATAATTTAAGTATTTTAAATGGTATAGTAATAATTTACAATTAACTATTATATGATTCGTAAGATTTATACATGTTGAAATTTAACGCCAATTTTTTAGATAACAATTATGAAACGAAAGGAAAATCTAAAAGAAATAATTCAAATGATTCTGATGGTAATTAGTTTCTTTATTTGTTTATTATTTTTATTATTTTTAATAATATTTTATTAACAAATTTAATTAAAATAGTAGAAGACAATGAAATTAATTCTAAGAAATTAAAAGTAAATCATGTTAAAGGTAATCGTCATTTTTACTACTCATGCTGATTAAATCACTATATATTGATTTCCTATTTCTTATTATTATTTTTAGAAACAAATAGAGTTGGATTCCAATATATGCAAAGAAGTGCTGATGATATAGATGACACAAGTGATGATGGTAAGAAATTATATCATACTCTATTATTCTTTATATTATTTTATTAATTCTATGATACTCTAGATGACGATGAAGTACCTATTCTTCCGATTCTTCGTCAAGAAGTGTCGTAAATTCTAGAAGGTAACCATTAGAAATTATAAATCAACTTAAGAAAGATATCTTTTTTTTTTTAATTTCGTGATTATTATTAGAAGGATAATTAAATTTGAATGATAATTTATGTTTAAATCTTAGAATTATTTAGCAATAGTTCTTTTAGTCTGAATTTTAAACGATTTTATTTATTATTCATTATTTATTTATTTATTTTTTTTTTCGAAATTGTTCAAACATAAAGTTATAGAATAGCAATTTTATTTTTTTTTTGCAATTAAATAAACTTTGTTTGTAATTTGAACAATCTTAATATAATTTTTTATTTGACGCGAATGACGTTTAAATTACGATTCTATAGGTTAATATATATTATTTTAACGGTTTTTAACGCCTCTATTAGTTATAATATTACTGATTTTTTTTAAAAAAATATATAAATCATGATTAATGTAATTTTATCTAAAAAATTTGAACGTACATTCGTACATTACTACATAAAGATACGAATCACGTATTCACTATTCACGTTTAAACAATCAGCTTAGCGCAGATCAATAACTCAATAACTCTCCTTGCAATTGTTATAGCTTTTTAGTTCAATCTAGGCCGGACTAGCTAAGGGTTTTGCTCAATCTAACATATGCAAGATATTATAAGACGTGAGTGAGAAATCAAAGTCACGTGACTTGTTGATTTTAAGAATCAATACGCTATCGGATTTTAAAAAAATTTAATGATGCCTAAAAAATTTTTAAAATTTAGTTTCGTGGAAAAATCGTAAATGTTTGACTAAACAGATCGTAAATTTATTTCTTTCAACTCACGTGAGTTCATTATATTATAATTTATCACATCATTCTCACAAATAATGCGCTCATATCATGTCATCAAAATAAATAAAATTCATTTCCAAAAAAATCGTGAAAATCAGAGATTTTCCTACGGGGTTCGATTGGAAGAAATCTCCCAGTTGAGCATATAGAAAAATAAGGACCGATTATGAAGAGAGTTGGAGAAATTATGTTGAAATTACCGTAATTGATTACAGTAAGACGAAAAAAACGTACGTTAATAACGATATACAAAATTTTTAAATTGACTAAATAAGATGTTGAGATCGTATCAAATTGAAAACAGAGTTAATGTCAGGGGATGTGGGCGTTTGGTAGTTGGTACATACTCGTACATACCCTGAATTTTATTAGAATCATTAAAAGATAATAAAAAGAGTTTTGAAATTGTAGATTCAAGAAGACATGCACATACAGATTAAATATGTTCAATAAAATATTAAGTTCAATCCATAATGAATGGAAAAAAGAAATAGTCTATACTATAATAAGATCTTGTTTTATACTAATGTTATACACTAACGCTATACATGTACGTTATACACGAACGCTATACATGAACGCTATACATGAACGTTATACACGAACGTTATGCACGAACGTTATACATGAACGTTATACATGAACGTTATACATAAAAGTTATACATGAACGAATTAAGATTGTTACCATTTTAATCTGCTAATATCAATAAAAGCGTGAGAAATATACTGTATATAGTATTATCGGAACAAGGTAAAGTTTAATAAAAAATGGCTTAAAATCTGACGACATAAAATTTGATCATCTTATAAATTTTCAGTTAAATTGGACCAATCTTCCCATAAAAGTCAAATCCGAGGCGTTTGCAGAGATTACCAGTTTATCACAGATTTACCACGCCAATTATTCCGTTTACCCGTTCGTGGGAAGTTGGGACATTTAGTGAGAATCAAAAGAATATGATTATGACTTTTTTCTTACATATTATACAACTAACTAAACATTATCATTATATAAAAGGATTTTACAATAGATATTTCACACAATATTAGTTGATCTTGTTTGATGACTAATATAATATGTATTACATGTAACAAAATGTAAAATGATTAATATGTATTACATATAAAATGAATAAATTAATATGGTATGTGAGGCTAAAAAATCATAAAATTTGACCGGAATTAACATTCCTAATAAACAACTCTTACTCTTTATTTAACTTAAAACGCATATTTGTTTGTATAATTGTATAACAAATACATTCATTTAATTAACTAAAATATAAACATTCTTAACTTTATTACTACAATCATTACTTTATTTTGTTAGCGGATAAAATAAATAAAGTAAAGATTTAAAATTTCCGCGTGGTTTGTTCAGAAAAAAGGAATCATTTTAACCTTTATAGAAATTTATATAAAATTAAGGTAAATTTATTTTTAAAATGGACATTTAAAAAAAATGTGACGATTTTTCTAATTTAAAAAATCAATTTCCTAATTTATCATAAATAAAACCTGATTATTTGATATTTTGATGTTGTGTTCGCTTGACCATCGTTCATTATGATCGAATAAGTACATGAAGGTGTCCCTCTCATACGCCGCAAAAATAAAGTACCCTATATAAATATTAGTAAGGAAATTTATAACGTATATATAAAAACGTGCTCCACCTTTTTTTTCCCCCTTCTCTCTCTCTATAATAAAAATAATAATTTTTTTTTGTATAAAAATTTTCCTTTCTTCTATTAAAAACATATTGTAAAACCAAAATGAGAATCGTAACGGAAATAAAACGTAAAAGCAAAATCTTTAGAAAATCTTTAACTTTAAGAATAAGTGGTTCTAAAGATAAAAGATCGATACCTAATTACATTCCTAGTAACTCAATAACTATACAAGATATTCCAATAGATTGTCTTGAACGGATTTTTTCTCATATTACAAACATTTCAGAAGAAAATTCAAATGATATCTTAAATTATAATATTAAAATTTCAACATTATTTAATTGCGCAAGAGTGAATAAATTATGGAGCGCACTTGTAATTCCAAAATTATGGCGTCGTCCTTTTCATTTTGTTCTAAGTGATGAACAAAATTGTACATTAATTAGTACATTAATATTATTCCTTTCGGAACAAGATAAAAATGTTTTAATTGATCAACAATTAAAATTTGTAGAGATGAAAAATATTAATGATAGATTCATTAAATTTAATTATCCACAATTAATAAAATTATTTGATTATGATAATTTTATTAAATCAGTTCATAGATGGGTCGTAAGATATCCAAATACTTGTACAGAATTTGGGAAATCTCGTTTAGTTACTCAATTACTTGGAAAAGTTTTATTTAAAGGAAATGATTTAAATGGTTTTAAAACATTTAATTATTTTCGTGCAAAGATTTATGATAATTTTGATTTTATTTCTTTATATAAATTAATTCCTCAAAATTCTTTTGGTTGTTTTAATAATCTTACCCAATTAGAATATAGGAATCCTCATAAAGTTAATAAATCAAATTTAGATGAATTTCTTAATTTTTTTAATATTATTATATTAAATTGTAGTGATTTAAAAAGTATTTCTTTGGATGTTAGAAAGGAGGAAAAAGATGATTATTTGGAAATCGATTATTCTATATCAAAATTATTATCAAATCAAAAAAGATTGGAAAATTTATCAATTAGTTATTGTTCCCCAATGATTTATAATTCAATTTTTAGACATACTCATTATTTAAATTATTTACATATTAAAGGTATTAATGATATGTCTTGTTTACTTAAATTAATTTCATCTTGTAAAGTATTAAAAACTTTGGAATTAGAACAAAGTTGGAATAAATCTGATGATGATTATAAATTTCATTATTCAGATCTTACCAAGAATTTTTCTTTATCTCATACAACAAAACTTCAAATTGATCATCTTTATTTTAATTTTAATGATCAAAGATCTGAAACTTTATTAATTTGTTTACTTGAAATGACAAATTTAAATTTAAAAACATTAACAACAAAATTAATTACTTTTAATATTATGAGAATAATTTCAACTTTTTGTACAAATATATCATCTTTAAATATTTCTCATAATTTTTCTCATATTGATTTTACTTCTTTATTAAATATTTTACCTGTCTTTCCTTTACGTCAATTATATTTAGAAATTTCTTATTCAAGTTCTCGTGAATATATGGATGCTGAAATTTATAAATTAGCTTCATCTTTACCTTATACTTTAGAAAATCTTTATTTAAAATGTCATATCACTCCTGATTATTTGGATATTTTATTAAATAGATCTCGTCCAAATATTAAATCTTTATGGTTATATAATGTATCTGATTATTATATGGATTATTTAAAAATATTATATCATTATTCTTTAGTACAAAATAATCGTTTAAAAGATGTTAGATTTAATTGGAATAGATCACTTAATAATAGTAGAAGGAATAGAAGATCAAGTAGTGTAACAAGTTGTGATGATGAAGAATTTAAAAAGACTGTTTCTAAACATTTAAAAGATGCTAGACAAAGTATTTTAAAAGAGAAAAGAAAAGAAAAGAAAGAATCTTTTGATAATAATAAGAATCCTTTTATTATAAGTGAAGTAAAAAATCATATTTTTAGTTATCATGGTAAGTAAACGATCGTAAACGATCTGATTTTAATTTTTTTTTTTTTTTTTTCTTCGATTTTCGATTTTTCTTAATTAATTTTTTTTATATATATATACTATATAGATAAAGTTTTTGAAAGAAAATTGAGTGATTATAAAGATCATTAGTGATTTGGTAGAGAAAAAAAAAAAAAATTTATTTTATGTATAAAAAAGATTATTTGTATTTAGTTTTTTCAGTCATTTTTTTTTTTCACTTCATCCATTAATCATCAATCAATGTATCAAAATGTATTTTTATTTTATTTATTATCATCATATTATAGTATTACTATACTGTAAATAAATGTCGATATTCATGTATTTAAATTATTTGCAATTTAAAAAATTTAAATAAAAAAAAATACTTTGTATATGCTTATATATATATATGTCGTGGACGTCGATCGACGTAGGTGCTATATTTGTACGTATCCATTTCCTACGCATGCAATTATTTTATATAACGATCAAAATTTATTTGTTACTTATTGCATTATTATTTTATTAAAAAAATTACTTTAGGTTGTATATGCTTATGTCGTGGACGCTACCAACGGCCACGACGGGGATCAACAAACGTAGGTGTTACATTTGCACGCATCCATTGCTTACGCATGCAAATTATATATGTAACGATCAAAATTTATTTGTTACTTATTGTATTATTAAAAAAATTAATTTAGTTGTATATGTTATATCAATGAATGTTGTGGACGCACCAACGACCACGACGGGGATCAACAAACGTAGGTATTATATTTGCACGCATCCATTGCCTACGCATGCAAATTATATATGTAACGATCAAAATTTATTTGTTACTTATTGTATTATTAAAAAATTACTTTGGTTGTGTATGCTTATATCATGAATTTTGTCGTGGATGCCACCAACGACCACGACGAGAGTTCGACAAACGTAGGTGCTATATTTGCACGCATTCGTTTCCTACGCATGCAACTTATATATGTAACGATCGAAATTTACAAAATTAATTTAGTTGTATATGCTTATTTATATCAATGAATTTTGCCGTGGACGTCACCAACTACCACAACGAGTTCGATCAACGGTCAATGACAAACAGCAATATCTGCACGCATTCAATTCCTACGCATGCATGATTTATTACCGATCAAATCATTCTTATGCTCTTTTTTTTTAAAAAAAAATTAATTTATTTTATTTCATAAAGAGGAGTGATCAGATATCTATACATTGATAGGTATTTAGATACAAAGAAGTAAAGAAGAACTATTCTAGTATAAGATACTCGGATACCAATCCCAACCCTGTAAGATATAAAACCCACCCAGGACAGGACCTCACCCTTCAATTTAAACTACTAAAACGGTAGAACTACGCTACAGTTAAAGGATTTAAAAAAAAAATTAAAAATCTGTATTCACAAATCTTCGAATACCATTTTAATCACGTGATATAGAATAAAATACGTGACATTTTTCTAATAATTCAGGAAAAAATTTTAACAAATGATAATACTTTTTAAGGCATGGTACCTAATTTTGGCGTTAATCGGGGTCCAAAGTTCTTGATAATAATCAATCAAAAAGATGCTAGTAATAAAAAGGTTAAAAAGGTTGAACTTATTTGGTATCAAAAGTCGTCTCACGTGATATAGTTAAATAATTTTTCGCCACAAAATAGTTAAGTGGTGAAACGCACACCATATTACACCATTCTGACGATTAAGTAAACTGACGGAAAAAACTTAATCGTAGAAATACCAAAAGGCAATTTGTTAATAGAACAATAAAAAGCTATAAATATTTTACTTTTTTTTTTTTTTTTTTTTTTTATGAATATATTTATGGATCATACATACTCTTTCATTTCCGGATGAATTAAAAATTCACATTATTGTGGCGAAAAACTTTGTTACAAATATTTTTTTATAAACATTTTTTTTTTTNATTTAAATGATATTAAAATCATTAATGACATATGACATGCATTTAATAAAAAACGCGGTTATGTGTAATATGCGCGAAGAAAAAAAATTTATTCCCACACGACCTCATCTCTTATTATATTAATGATAAAGTTTTCATTTAAAAATATCTTAAAATTTTTTTTTTTTTTTTCTTAAATGAATATATTTATGGATCATACATACTCTTTCATTTCCGGATGAATTAAAAATTCACATTATTGTGGCGAAAAACTTTGTTACAAATATTTTTTTATAAACATTTTTTTTTTTTGGCGCACATCTATTTTTGAGTTGTTATAGAGCTGCATGCAGTATCCAAATAAATTTCTGTATGGAGAATTTGGTTGGGGTCTGATCGGTTCACCGAAAATGCAGTTGGAATACTATTTAGGAATATTGTGAATCTAATTTAAGTGAGTATTTTTAATCAACATTATATGAATGAATATTTTCTCGTATATTTTCTTTCAAATATTAATTATTTAGAAAAGTATAAATTTGAATGAAACGAAAGATGAAATAGAAAATTCCGTTTAAAATCATTAATTACTTCTTAGAATTTCAATAAATTTTATGGAAAAGGATGAAAATATGGATATTTTTTGTTATGTAAGTCGAAATTAATACAATTTATTTTATTATTTGCTAATTCTATTTAAAGTCGAAATTAATACAACTTTATTTTTATTATTTGTTAATCGTAAAATAATTTTATTTTCTTTTCCTTTTTTTTTTAAGCGGTATGATCGATCGAAATTATTGACATTAAAGTATAAGGGATTAATAAGACTAAAATGTGATGGTGACCAAAACGAAATCATTCAATGATTATTATATATATAGGAAGCGTTACTGGTTAGCATTTATTATATCAATACTATATCAATAACGTACTGTACTACACTAAACATCACTATCAACTAATCCAAAACTTGGATCAACCATCAGGTTCAAGCCATATCGAAATATTACGACACATTACACCGATTCAACATTACACCGGTGTAATACCGTAATACTATTTTAATATGAATCTTTTGAACAAACAATTTGGTGTAATAAATTTCATCATTACGCCACCCAAATGCCGAATTATCTGAAACAAATACTTGTATAAACCATCATGGCATCAATGATGATCGAAATCTCACAGACAAGAAAGACGCCAGATGAAGATCAGGAAACCCGTTAAGCGTATTAAGCGTATTTACCGTACCGTACTGTACTTCTTTGAGAATACCCCCATGTAAAGTATCGACTGTTAGTATGAAACATGAAACAAGTAGTAAGTAGATTTAAAAAATTTGCATATTTAATGGTTATTATAAATCTTTTCATATATTAAATATATTAAATCCTTCTAGTATTGCTGTATTAGATGGTACAATACCAGGTATCTTGTACATTGCGGTACGATATTCAGGGGGGGTTGTAATTTAATAAAAATTTGCTTTTAAATATCAAGCTTTTACCTGTAGTTTTTTTTTAAAAAATAAATAAGCTTTACCTGTAGTTTTTTTTTTAAAAAAAAAAATAAAATAAAATAAAATAAGCTTTACCTGCAGTTTTTTTTAAAAAAAATAAAATAAAATAAAAAAAATAAATAGAACGTAAAATTTAGCAAAAGAATTGGGCCGTGGACTGGTAATTGTGATTAAAAAAAATTGAAATTCCGATTCTTTTTTTCGATGTATTGTAACAACTAGATTTATTGAGCAGGTCGTTAATCGTTATTAACCTGGTCAGTACATTTAGACCAAGTGATTTAGAACGGTTTTTGATCCGATTTTATTTAAAGAATTTTATAATTTTATAATTTTATAATTTTATTATATTACAATAATTGAATTTTAATGATTAATTACATATATAACCTAAATCTCATTTTGATATGTTGATAAATTGATATAAAGTTATATATTAAATAAATAAATGTTTCTCATTTTTACACATTACGGAATTCATAATTCCGTCACAACAGATCACTAGATCCCGACATCTTTTTTAGGAGGGAGAGGGGAGGGAGAGGGGGAGAGGGGGGGAGGGGAAGGAATATAATAATTTATAAACCATTTAAGGTTTTTTGATTTAATTCCTTCTGTTATTATTTTCACGATTACGTTGAATCGTATCATAATAAGCAGAATAAATAGCGGGTATTACTGGAGGAAATGGAGCTGAAGGACTAACATCAACATCCCTAAATTTTTAAATTAAATTGAACTTAATAAAGTTTCTAATGATTAAAATAATTTTTTTTTTAAATAAAACGTACCTTCTGTGCATATTCCACCAATAATCAGTTACAGAAGTTTTAGCGTAAACATCATCACCATCAGGATTTTTAAATCTTAATCCCCAAGAAGTAGATCCAACAATATCAGATATAAGAGAGTATGATTCTTCATTTGCAAGTTCACACTTTCTATATAAATGTCCATTAAAAAGCCAATTCCAAGTAATTTTATAATTACATAATTCAGGAATTATCAAACCATCTAAATCCGTATAATTTTTGAAAGGATTTTTATTAAAAGAAATATAAACGTCGTTCATCCAAAAACTTAGAGAAGAATCAACAGTTTTTACAGGAAAAAATTCTTCAGTAGATATATTTTTACGAACTTCATGAACTTCATAATTCCCAAGTGTCCAAGATGATAATGAAACAATTTCTGCCAATAAAACAAATTCAGATTGTTCATCATCATTATATTCTATTGGTAAAGTTTCGATTAAATAACCAAAATGTATATAACTTTTGTGACTTAACATATAATGATAAGGTACATTTGAAATATCACTTGGTAAACCACTTTCAGAATTATTATGTGGAGTTATAAAAATTAATACAACTATTAATAAAGCGATCACGAAACAAACTAAAGTAAGAGTTTTTTGTATAAGACTTATTTCTTCTTCCTCATCATAGTTAAATGGAATAAGTGGACTTCTTTCAGTTAATGGCATTATCCTTTCACATAAAAAATAGGAAATAAAAAAAAAAAAAAAGAAAAAATATTAAAAAAAAATTTTTTCATTTTTAAA